GGAGTGGTGGCTCATATCTATAATTCCAGCACTTTGGGAGGCCAAAGCGAGAGAATCTCTTGAGCCCATAAGTTTGAGACCAGCCTGGGCAACACAGTAAGACCTCACCTCTACAAAAAATGCAAAAATTAGTCAGGCATGGTAACTCATGCCTGTAGTCCCAGCTACTGGGGAGGCTGAGGTGGGAGGATCACTTGAGCCCAGGAGGTTGAGGCTGCAGTGAGCCGGGATCATGCCACTGCATTCTAGCATGGGCAATAAAGTGAGACCATGTCTCAAAAAAAAAAAAAAAAAAAATCACTACCTGGAAGGAGGAAGCCTGTGTCCAGAGCTTAAGGATATAGAGGATCAAGCCAGGCTCGATGGCTCAGCCTGTAATTCCACGCTTTGGGAGGCTGAGGTGAGTAGATTGCCTGAGCCTGCGGGTTCGAGACTCGCCTGGGCAACTTGGTGAGACCTCGTCTCTACAATAAATCAAAAAAATCAGCCGGGCGTGGTAGCGCGCGCCTGTAGTTCCAGCTACTTGGAAGGCTGAGGCAGAAGGATCGCTGGAGGCTGCGGTGTCTGGGAGTGGCCACTGAACTCCAGTCTGGGCGACGGAGTGAGACTCCAACTCAAAAAAAAAAAAAAAAAAGGATATAGAGGATCCACCAACTGTGATACTGGGTGCAAATGCCAGTGGGCTCCAACTGGGTGAGGATTATTGTTAGGACTGCTATTATTTAGGTCAGTATTTTGGCTTCAAAATCACATCGATTTTGAGAGATGGGGCCCTAATTTATTTTCTTATATGCCCTATTATTTTTTAGTATACAAACTGTCAAGGCACGAGGTTCTTCAGGAAAGCATACAGCCCTGTTACAGCAAAAAGGCCTTTGATGAGAGATGTTAGTCTCCGTAAATTAATCTACAAATGTCATGCAACCCTGATAAAAAAAAATCCCTTCAACCCAACGGGTGTTGTATTCCCTAGCAGGACTTTTTTATGGAATTTGACAAGCTGATTCTAAAATTCATCTCGCATAGAAAAAGCTAGATAGCAGTCTCAAAATTCTGGAAAAATAAGAACTAGTAGGGAGGCTTCTACTTGTTAAGCTGCCTTCTAAGTGTCGCTGGGCAAAGCAGGTAGGAAAAGGAGGAAGCAAAGGCTGGCTGAGTGAGCTGTTCTGAGACAACTTGGTTGTAGGTCATTATTGGCTGCTGAAGGTAGGGCGGGTGGTCAGGGGAACTTGGCAGGTCCCTAAGACCAATCACAGCTTAGCTCAGAGATGAGGGGCTTGCTGAACATCTGTATTCTCCTCAGGTCCCAAGCAAGGTCTGTAGAGGGAATCTGCTCTACCAGAAACAAGGTCTATACTACCTAACCTACACAGTATTGCCACAGGAATAGACAAATTGATTTTATGGAACAGAATAACATTAATAATATCTAACACATAGTATTCAACATGTGCTAGGCAACATTTTAACTGCTTTATATATATTTATTTAATCCTCACAACAACCGATGATATAGGTACTATTATCACAGACAGATTAACTGGCTTGTTGAAAGTTACACAGTTATTAAGGCATAGAACTGGGACTAGAGTGAGAAACAAATCCACATATATATGGGAATTTAGTTTATGAAAAAAGTAGAACTTCAAATTGGAGATAATGAGAAACTAGTCAATAAATGGTGTTGGGGTAGTGACTATTTATGTGGAAAAAATAAAGTTGGATTCTTACCTCTCACAATTCAGAAAGCTTAATTTTAGATAAAAAGCTAGAATCTTAACTCCTATAAGTTTGAGGTGAAAATATAAGGTCTTCTTAATCAAAACATAAAACAGACCAGGCATGGTGGCTCACACTTATAATCCCAGCAATTTGGGAGGCCAAGGTGGGAGGATGACTTGAGGCCAGAAGTTCAAGACCAGCTTAGGCAACATAGCAAGACTCCATCTCTATAAAAAATTTAAAAATTAGCTAGGCATAGTGGCATGCACCTGTAGTCCCACCTACTCAGAAGGCTGAGGTGGGAGGATCACCTGAGCCCAGGAGTTGGAGGTTGCAGTGAGCTATGATCACGCCACTGCACTCCAGCCTGGGCACCAGGGCATGACCCTGGGGCCAAAATAAAATAAAATACAAAAAACTATAAAAACCTGATAAAGATGACTATGTAAAAACTGAAATCTTCTACATGCTAAAAAAACACCATAAATATTTTTCCATATATAAAAATACTCCAACCCAGAATATATTATATAAAGAAGTCCTACAAATTAATAAGAAAAACAAACATCACAATAGAAAAATGGGTGACAGCTACTGAGGAGTCTGAGGTGAAAGGACTGCCTGAACCCAGGAGGTCAAGGCCTTGGTGAGCTGTTATCATGCCACTGCACTCCAGCCTGGGCCAGAGCAAGACACTAACTCAAAAATAAAAAAAATTAAAAACGAGTGAAAGACTGAATAGATAATTCACAGAAAAACAATAGTCAATAACATATAAAACACACAGAGGCGTGTAATCCCGCGCCTTTGGGAGGCTGAGGTGAGTGGATTGCCTGAGCCCGCGGGTTCAAGACCCGCCTGGGCAGCGAGACCTCATCTTTACAATAAATCAAAAAATCAGCCGGGCGTGGTAGCGCGCGCCTGTAATTCCGGCTACTCGGAAGGCTGAGGTGGAAGAATCGCCGGAGCCCAGCAAGTGAGGCTGCGGTGGCCGGGAGCGGCCACTTCACTCCAGTCTGGGTGACAGA